GTTTTCAATAAAAAGTATTATGTATATTCCGTATCGCAAATGCGATTCACAGCGCTACGGTTTTCAATTAATTGTTTACCGTTGTTTAGCAAGCAGCAAGTAGTATCCCGGTTCTTAGTTGATTGGCGAATCGCTTTTCTGGGGTAATAATGCCTTCAATAATAATAATAATTATAGTAAGTTAAATAAAAGTAGTAAGATTGTCACTTCAATCCACGACTGTTGGTGGGAAACTACTGTGTGAAATTGGCTGCTGCTTTTCGCCCACTAAACATATAATAAAATCACTTGATAGTATATTCTGTGAAGCGTTTTGAGACATGTCGAAGGCGTGATAAGGCGCTATATCAATTGTAAAGATTATTGTTTTTATTGACAGCACTACTGATACTAATGTAGCATAATGGGCAGCAATTAAAATCATGGCCCGTACGGGGATTGAAACGGCGACCTTGGCATTATCAGCACCACGCTATCACCAACTGAGCTAACCGGTCTGACTTGCTGAGTGAGTCATAGTAAGCTCTGATTAATGATATATACTATGTAACCCTGTGAATGACATACTTCGGGATATTTATTGCACAATCGAGATTTAGGTTATTCAAGCAATTCAATCGATATACTAGAAATTGTAGGAGCTGATCTCTGTGATTCAGTGCATTTAATAAAGGAGAATATTTTCAACAGTTTTAACTTTAGCAGCATATGGATTATTTTTGCGAGTGACCCTATCATCCCGATCCTGCAAGACCCGTCTCAAGACTCTTATCTCAACACAACCTCCTAGCAAAGAGACACAGAGCTAGGCAGGAGTACACTGGAATGCGAACGATGACCAGGGAAGATAAGGACAGCTGGATCTGGAGGTTGGATGGTAGGCCAATTGCGTTTACAAGGGCAGGTGTCCTAGCTGCAGGACTGTTAGAAACCTGGGAAAATTGGAACAGGAGCATGAATGGGAGGATAACCAGCAACTTAAACTGAGAAAATTTTAAAGTGAGCAGGTCACATGGACAGAGATAGAAAGAAGGACTGAAACTTGAGGGACATGGAGTCAGGTGGTTTGGTGAGACTAGATAAGATGGAATAGGAGGCGTATTGTTCTTTTGCTGAGGACTCACTAGCTGATAGCAGGAGCAACAACTTCAAGATAGGGAAATAATCCCTGGAAAAAGTGCAGAGAGGAGAAAGAAATAACGAGACGAAAGGAAGTATAATACAGATGGCTGGCGAAAACGTGTGTAAGAAAGGTAGCCAAAACTTATAGGATTTCGAGCTTCTGAGGAGAGGAAGCGGACGGACACCAACGGAAAGGAAGAAGGTTGCATATGAGCGAAATAGGACCAGTACAGCTATCGCTGGAGTGGACCGCAAAGAGAAGAATGCGAGACTTTTACGATTAGAAACAAGCCATAAGCAAGCCAGAACATTTGTAACAAGCAGCACACAGCAGAGAGTGTTTAACTTCTGTATCAGCCTTAGAACTCCGTCACGATTGCCTCCCTGCTCGGCAGTATCTCTCATACTTAAGAAAACACGCAGCCAATATACATGCAAAACAGTTAGAAATCATTTTGGCACCTCTCATATCTCAGAAGCTTTTATGCTTTGAATTGTGGTATTTAGTGTATCTTGTTAAGATAGTGCTTTAGTAGTTATTTAAGCGCGACGAGTAATGATGATGCGTCGGGTGTAATGCTTGCTTATGTATGTGTGTGTTCATAATTGCTTTTAAAACCTTTTATTGATATCCTTGGCCTGGCTTCTGAAAAAAACAATTTTACAGAAGGCACATTACAGCTTTTCACACACACAAACAGCGCCATCGTAAGCACTGGGGGTACTTTACCGGATAGACACACCAGACTCCTGCATGTTATATCGTATTGACCTGAGCTGTTTGCAAGGCTCACTATTTTCATTTTGCTCAGCTGTGTTTCACGTTCTAACTTATAACGGTTGAGAATATTCAGACTAAACCCGAATTGTTCTCTGCAATCGATAAGGGAATATCTATTTGTTGGAATGCAATATGCAGTCTCTCACTGGAAGGATGCTTCCAGGCAAACCAATTGCAAACAGTTTAACGCATAAGATGGCAAAACGGTGTTTTCTCGCATACTCTGTTGTGTTGTTAGGCTACTGCTGGATTCTAACCATGAAAATCTGCAGATGATGGTACTGAGTGCACTTGTCAGGCAAACTTTCCCGAAAACTTTCGTAATCCGGATTACCCAACTCACGTTTACCCTTCTTTGTGGTACGATAAATGCGTCTCCTTGGCGCCGAAATGGTAACACAAACATAGAATCATTGAATTGTACAGCACAGAAGGAGTCAATTGCCTGTGCCTGTGTCTGTGCCGACTCCCAGAAAGCGAAGCCAACGGATGCTCAAGGGTAGATTTTCCCAATGATGTATAACATCAGATGATCAGCACTCAGAATGCGTGGGAGAGCACGTCAACCAGACCGATCTCTGAGCGGCCATTTGCAAAATATTCTCTCTTTGTACGTCAGGGCTATGTAACACTGCATACAATTATTTTATGGCATCAAAGGCTCGGAAACCGCCGCAGTCAAGTGCACCTTATTTCTGATTGATGGCTGGTTTCTTTTTTCTCTCTAACAGCCTTTGAAAGGCTAGTTTCAAAGCTGGAAACCGCCAAACATAAACTCCATTTGATTCCTGACTCTGTGGTGAAGCACGAACTGACCCAAATTGAACAATATGTAATAAAAGATTAGCAAGCTTAGATGTAATTAAAATTAAACATTTCATCAAACAAATGAATGCGTACAGCGGTTTAGCAATCAAATTAAAGTTTACGACAGGTTAGTGAAGTTAACTGCACTAGTTCCCAATTTCCATCACTCTATATCTGTTAGCCCCCTCAACAACAACAAGATTCCATTTATAAAGCGCCTTTCACGTCAGGAGGACGTCCCAAGGCGCTGCACAGTTGGGTCATGACTCGAGCAGGCGGGAAATGGTCAGGGTGAGGGGAGGGAAGGGAGGAAGCGAGGAGGGGGGAAATGGTCAGGGTGAGGGGAGGGAAGGGAGGGAGCGAGGAGGGGGAAGAGAGTCGAGAGGGGAGCTGAAGGCTCGGTCAAAGAGAAAGGTTTTGAGACCGGCCTTGAAGGAGGAAAGGGAGGAAGCAAGGCGAAGGCACTGGGGGATGGAGTTCCAGAGCCTGGGGGCTGAGAGGCTGAAGGCCCGACCACCGATGGTAGGGCGGTTGGGGCGGTGACGTGGAGCAGACCGGAGCCAGAGGAACGGAGGGTACGGGCAGGTAGGTAGGGGGATAGTAGGTGGGAGAGGTAGGAGGGAGCAAGGCCGTGAATGGCCTTGTAGGTGAGGATGAGGATCCTCGCTTTCAGAATCGCTCATACTCTTTCTCTGTCAATCACTCTATCTCTATCTTTCAACCGCTCTTCTTCGCGCTCTTCCTGTTGGCCCAGTATGTAAAATAAGCAATAATATTACTGATCTAACACCCACTCTCACTCGAATTCGCTCTTTTTTTCTCTCACTTTGTCAATCTACCTCTCTCTCATTCAATTTGTGTCTCACAGTCTATCACACAGGCTCGCTTTTTATCGCTCTCGGTCTCCAAATCACTGTTTCTTCCCCTGTCTCTCTCACAGACTCATCTCGTGCATTCTCTCTCTCACTCAATCTCTCGTACGTTGGCCATGTCTTATTCAATATCTACCATTCTCTCTCCGTTTCATTCAACCTCTTATCTGTATCGCACTTGGTCGCTTTGTCTCTGTCGCTCTTCATCGCTCTCTCCATCACACCCCGAAACCCCTCACCGCCCCCTGCAAACAGCCCAGCGATCAGTTTTGATGAGGATAAGGTGGAAAGGTACCCCCACCCGATCCATTCCTCCACGGGGATCCCAACCCACAGCTCTTTTGTGTATGTGTGAGTCTGTGAGTTTATATGTACGTGTGAGTGTCTGTAGGTATGATAATGATAATGAACATGTGGTTGTGTGTGGGTGTCTGTGAATGAGTGTGTGCGCATGTGTTTGTAGGTGTGAGTCTGATAGGGTGTGTGTGTGATTGTGCATATATGTGTCTTCTCACACCAGCGTCCCCGAGACGTACCGCGGATGTTAGCATTCTTGACTGGTGAATCAGGTAAATTTTTCGACGATAAATGCACCTCCAAGTAACCTGGTATTTCTGATATTCTCCTAAGCTGAAAGAAGCTGTTTGAATGTAAAGCCTACACACACATGAACACGCACAAACAGATAGACACACACGCAGTCACAATTCCACACATACTCACATACATACACAAACACTGAGACACACACACATACACAGAAAAACCGACACAAACATTCAATATAAAGTGTAAGAACTTTACAACCAAGTATAGCGCCAAATTGTGCACAAGCAACGTCCCAAAAAGACACAGTCACTCTACTCTATACTAAGTCATGCCAAGCGCTTCGATACCTCATTCTGATATAAATGGAGCCGAAGCAAATGCTTCAACTATTATTAAATAATTATTTAAAGTGAGCGAACAATATCGGCCACGAAAATGAAAGAACACTCTCTTCTCTTTTTGAGTATTGCCAAAGTCGCGACTTGGTGTTAAATCCACGATCTTCTGGCTCAGTCGAGACACGAGGCCTGAGCTGGGCTGATACAGGGCTGAGCTGTACTGACATAGGGCTGTGCTCGGTTGACACAATACTTAGCTGAGCTGACAGAGGGCAGATATGGGTTGACACAGGGCTTAGATAGACTCTGTCGGGATGACACAGGGCCTGAGCTGGGCTTTGCCTACAATGGGCTGAATCAGTGGTGAGCTGTAATGACACAGTGCTGAGCTAGGCTGACACTATGCCAGTAAAATGGATACAAGCCATCATTGGAGGAATGAATATTCATAGGTTCTCAATCACACATCTGAAGCACACAAACGAACACAAACATGATTTAAAACCGACACCTTTCAATAACACCCACTGGTATTTATTGATATTATTAAGGGTATCGGTAATTATGAGCAATTGTCAACGATAATGGCAATAGTAATGATTATACAAAGAGTAATGTATTAATAATCCTTTCATTTTAAATAACCACTTAACCATCATCGTTATGGCTGAAAGTACTTCGCAGGATAGACTGCACAATGAAGTGACTTTACTTTGTGTGCGAAACGTGGCAATCAGTTGCACACGACAGTGCCCCACAAAGAGTCATGGGGTGAGTGTCAGATTTTATTTGGCGGAGGATACCGTGAGTGAGAAATACAGTATTCAAGTAATGCTGTTGGATATTTAATTTCTATCTGAACAGGCAGACGGGACCTGGGTTTATCATCTGAAGAACAGAACTCTTGAAGCGGCTTAAATTGAGAGAAATGGATGACAGACAGACGCGCAATCAGAAACGTAAGAGTAAAACAGACTCATTGGCAGTCTCGCAGACATCACACACAGACACGCAGAAGATACACAGATATACACACGCTGACTCATGGACAGTAGGACAGACTAAGAGAGATGAGGCGTGAGAGAGCAAGAGTGAGGCTTAAAGAAAATTGCCTCTGGTTTGGGGGAAGCTCATCAGCAAACGATCAGTTTGTGTGGGGCTCGCGGACACGGCTGATTGTGATCAGCTCCACTCTCTGTAGGATCAAACCTAGAAAACGTTTAACTCAGGTGGGACTTTGCTGGTTTTATGTGTCGCCTGCTGAGGTTGTGTTCCTGAAAGAAAAACACAGAGAGGAGAGAGCGATGGATTCCCTGCTTTTACTGAGGAGGATTACAGAGCTCAGTCCTGGGCTTGTCACAGGACTAACCACCAACTATTTTCTCTCATCTGGGGGAGGGTGAAATGGTTGCGTCCTGTTCAGCACATCTATCTGCTGCTCGTGTTAGTAAAGCATCAGGTAGTTTTCCAGATGATGATTTTGAAAGCCGTTTAAGCGAAGGTTGAACGCAGAGTCCTGCCCTGATTTGGAAACAGCAAAACGTAATAGGTTTCTGTGTCAGAAAGCTCGGTGATACGAAGGTGTGTGGGAGAGGTGGGAGTCAATGTGAGTGGGGTGGGTGATTCCACGGAGCGTGTTTGTGTGGAGATGGTCTGTGGTGATTTGGATGAGAAAGTGAAGCTGTGCAATTATTTCCGTAATCACAGGAGAGTTGATTTAAGTAGGGCTGGACGTATAGGTGTAGATAGGGCAATCAGTTGCATGAAACATGTGGAAACACATTATCTTGATTGCAAATTGCAGTTAAACATTCTACACACCGAAATTCCTGTGTTTGTGAGAATGAGTATTTCTGCAAAGCCAATCGCCATGAGGATTAGGCACAAGCTGGAGTCCTGTGGAGTCCTGTAGCTCAGTGGTTAGAGCACTCGCTTTGCAAGCGAGAGATCCGAGTTCAATTCCAAGCAGAGGGCGAAACCTTCTGCAAGTTTCCTTACTCCCCACAGAGCCTAATAATAATCCCTCCAAAAAAACAATAATAAATTGGTCATTTTCAATCTACGACTGTTTGTGGGACATTGCTGTGCGCAATTGGCTGCCGCGTTCACCCTCAAATATACAGTCAATTCACTTTACAGTGAGTTCTGTGAAGCGCTTTGGGACGTCCTCCCGACGTGAAAAGCGCTATATCAAATGCAAGGATTATTATTATAAGCTTGCGAGATTCAGGCATGGCATCTGAGTGTGTAATGGGGTAACTGCTGCGGTCCAACCAGTTAAAGCCACATAGTTTGCCTTTGAGGGCACTGCCCTGCAAGGTTTCCGACCGTCTTTTCAGTTACAAATATCCTTCCCCTTTGTGGTTTGGCTTGCAGACTTGAAACCAACATAATTACCCTCCCCTCACCTAGTCCTCACTCAACATCCTCCACGCCACAAACAAAGCTCTCAATGAGGTAAATTTCATGCCACCATTGACGAGTCCGCACTATCTGGACCTGCCGAATTGTGGGGGAGCACAACAAAATTTGAAACGAGCATAGAGTGGGATTAGAGCAGTGAGCTCCATTGGGGGAGTGAACGCCAGCACTGACTATGAGCAGAGAGTAGAGAATGGGATTAGATTAGAAACCTCCAATGGGGAGCGAGTCCCAGCTCGGACACCCTGGGGAAAGAACAGAGAATGAATTTAGAAGAGAAATGTTCTCACCGTTACCCACTCGAACTGTTGTTTATACCTGCAGTTACAAAATGGATAAATTTCAAACATTCTTCAGTAATAGTTGTGCATTCTAGTTTTATTATTATGAATCCTTCTCTTTTTCCCAGTGTCAAAGGGCCTTCACACATACTTGTTGCCAAGTGCAGTTTCCTACCCCACGAACGTAATTGCTGTCTTTTCCTTTATTTCCAACAATTATATCCTAAATTTATGGCCACTTACCTCTCTTATACACAGAGAAGCCCAGTATAAGCACAGTTATCACTATCGCGGTGACAATCCCCACTGAAAGTCCTACAGTGTGCATCACGGTCCAGTTTGCTAGTGAGGGAAAAGGAAAAGCAGCAATTTGTCATCTTTAAAGAGATACAACGTACCAAAATGTATCATGTTCAAGAACTCAATCAGGTTTCATCTCATCCGGATGTGAAAGTTCTATAGAAAGTAATGTTTTCTCTCAACTTTCTCTTTTCCAATGAAAACAGCACTATTCCCCACCATTCTATCGTGATGAGAAAACTTTCTTGACCCTGAGAGGGGGAATCTGTATAGGGGCACTCTCCTGGCTGCAAATAAAGTTGTTTAAAATTTGAATCGAATCCAACTTTGATTGTGGTCTCCAGGCTGGAAACTGATCCAGGCGGATCAGTAGTATTCCAAGGCACTGCTGATACAGCACAGTTCAGCCTTGATCACCGGCAACAATTTGAGGAGAAGATCGCTTACTGGGAGCTGGGATTCTTCACCCTCAGTTCCGTATAATACCCCATTTAATAGGGAACTGTTTGTGTGGTCCTCGCTGAAAACGAAGGAGTTGTGTACCACATTGCTCTTCATGACAGGCTGTGCGGTTTAGCTTGTTAAGTATCAGCTGTGCTATAACAGCATGATATGGGGCCTCCAAACCTTGTCTCGCAGAAAAGCACACCTTAAAGACGTGACGATTCGGCAGCAGCGTCTCTCCGTCTGGGGAAAGGAAGCAGAAACACTCTTCACCTGTCGTTTGGACAACGCTCAGGATTTTGGATTTGGAATTATGTTTCATCTTGGGGATGGGTTTCCGCTCCACTCAAACCACTCCAGTCAACAACAAGAGATAACATAGAAATGTTATCTCTATTGTAAAGAGTGGTGGTAACAGGAGCTCTTTATGGTCAAGAGACAAACAGGTTATTGTGTGAGATATTACTCAGCTCTTACCGCGAACAGAGATTCCCACTCGCTCGCTCTCTGATGATGTGAGCTCTCGGCCGTCTACGAGTGTGGTATATTTACAGGTGTAGTTTCCTGCACTGATCTCTAAGGGGGTGAATGTGGCCGTGTTGTTATTCCCTGGAGACGGTTGTGATGTGATAAACTCGCCGTCTCTGTATAAAGAGAAATTGCTGCCGGGATAGTTCCCAGAACACGAGATGTGAGCAATTTTCCCTCTCACCAGGAAATTTGGCGTCATGGAAATGGTGGGTTTCTGGAGCGAATCTGTAATAAAAACACAATTAGAATACTGAGAAAATAATCTCAGAAGCACTCGCTCTGTAACAAGGGCTTGGATCAGGTCAGCGATAAAGTGACCGTTTGTTATTCTCAGAATGGTTGTGAGTTCAGGACGAGGGGAAGGGGATGAGGGGCAGGATCAGGATATGCTCCAACAAGTGCTTCTTTACAGAGAGGGTGGGGAAGGGACGACTGGGAGCGGGGTGGCAAGGGAGGGTAGCGGGATAACACACAGTTCCAGCCTGGAAAGGGAGGAAGGAAATCAATATTAATCTCAAATCGGTTCTACAGGCGTGTTTTTAAACAAAAGGATAAAATCACATACAGGGGATAAAGCAAAGCTTTTAGGAGCTACATATTCAGACAGCGGGAAACATGATGTTGGGATTCACTGCCTGAACCGGGAGTGAAGTCAGACAGATTACATACATTTAAGAGGACGCTATACCTTCAAAGTAAGTAAAGGCGAATAGAGGCTGTGCGAGAGAAGGAGATACACGGAGGGAGTGTGTGGGGAAGTTAATAATAATAATACACTTTGCATTTGATATAGCGCTTTTCACGTCTTCTAAACGTCTCAAAGCGCTTCACAGAATACACTGTAAAGTGAACTAACTTTATATTTGTAGGCGAACGCGGCAGCCAATTGCGCACAACAATGTCCCACAAACAGTCGTAGATTGAAAATGACCAATTTATTATTGTTTTTGGTTTTGGAGGGATTATTATTCGGCGTGTCTAGGAAGGAAACTTGCCCAAGGTTTCGCCTTGCCTGGAATTGAACTCAGGTCTCTCGCTTGTAAAGCGAGTACTCTTACCACTGAGCTACAGGATTCCATGCGGGGGGGAGGGCGGACTCTCTATTGCCCTCCCAGTCAGTGGAGGGTAATAGAGAATGGGGATGGGCGTGAGTGGAAGAGAGGTTACTGTTTTTGGTGTAAGGACCTGGGTCACGTCAGGGGCAGTGAGTGACAACAGGTATCCAGACACTGTTGTCCAGATATTCGCACTTACCCCACAGAGTGACTCCCACTCGCTCGCTCTCTGGTGATGTGAGCACCCGTCCGTCCATATTTTCAGCATATCTACACCAGTAAGTTCCTTCCCTGAACTCAGATGGGGTAAATATTGCCGTGTTGCTATTTTCTGGAGCTGATTGCGAAGTGATAAACTCGCCATCACTGTATAAAGAGAATTTGCTACCAGGATAATTCCCAGCACATGAGATCTCAGCACTTTCCCCTCTCACAAACACCCGAAAATCTGGCTTGAAGGAAATGGTGGGTTTCTGGAGCGGATCTGGAATTATAACATCATAAAATGAATCGCACAAACATTCGCTCTGGGCACGAACATGGATCAGTTCTAAGTAAAAGTGACCAATTGCTTGTTTGTCAATCTTGAATAGGTTGTCAGGACGAGTGGGACGTGGAGGGGTTGAGGGAAAAGTCCATGATCGATCCACAGCAAATGTTTCTTTGCAGAGAGTGAGGAGGGGCGACGACTGTGAATGCAGTGTACATGGATGTTGGTAAGGTCGGGGATTGGGATAACATGCAGCTCCAGCCTGGGACGGGGTGAGCGGGAATTCAATTCGGAAATCTCGTGTGATTTTATGATGTGGTTATAAACAGGATAAGATCGCAGATGATGAAACAGAAGATTTAACAAACAAATGTACGTGAAGTGATGCGACCACTCACTGCCTGAGGCGGGCCTGGAATCAGCCATTACATGCACATTCAAGAGGAAAGCAGCTATTTCCAGGAATTAAATAGGAATGGAGGCTGTGGGACGGAGGGAGCGTATGGGAGAGTGTAGTGGAGTGGTAGCAAAAGACGGTGTGGAGGGACGGCGGAGAGAGTGAAAGAAGGGGTAACCGACATTGTGCGCATGAAGGGGTGAGTGGGGAGGAAAGTAATAGAGGGTATGCAGGAAGGAAGTGGGCGACATAGGGGGAAGTAGAAGTTGTGGGATTAAGTGAGGTATAAAGTTCCTGAGAATCAGGGAGGAATAGAGGTGTGCATTAGAGTGAGAACTAGAGGGTTGTGAGGAATGGTATGGAATGGGGAGAGGAATAAAGGACTATGGGTGCGGATGAATAGAGTGTGAGGGAGGAAGGGAGGGACGAATGAATGGAAGATGTGGAGCGAGGGAGAAATGGGGAAAGACTCGTGTCACAGAGTGAGTGGAACAAGAAGAATGATGGAGGGAAGAGCTGTGATCGCTGTTCTTGGACACAAGGGCAGTAGCTGATCATTGGTGAAAGTCCAGGCTCTGGCACTTACTCCACAAGGAGATTCGCACGAGCTCGCTCTCTGGTGATGTGAGTTCTCGTCCGTCCATGCGTTTGGTATATTTACACGAGTAATTTCCTGCCCTGGTCTCCAATGGGATGAATGTTGCATTGTTGTTGTTCTCTTGAACTGTCAGTGATGCGATAAACCTGCCATCTCTGTATAAAGAAAAATTGCTGCCAGGATAATTCCCAGAACACGTGATCTGAGCACGTTCCGATCTCAGAAACACCCGGGAGTCTGTCTGAAGGGAAATGGTTGGTTTCTGGATCGGATCTGCAATAAAAGTGCAGTAACGATAATTGAAGCAACAATCTCTGTGTGGTATCAGTACAGTTCAGGTCCGAGTAAATGTGACTATTTCCTTGTTTCTCATCCTGCAGAGGTGTCAGGACGAGGGGAATTGGGCGGGGTTGAGTGGCAGGTTCAGGACAGACCTCAACATTTGTTTCTTTACACACTCGGTGTGTTAATGACGGCTGCGAGCGGGGTGGCCATGGAGGGCAGTGAGGCGGGGGATTGGGAAGGGAAGGGAGGACGGAAATTCAGTCTAAAGGTCTCGTGTGATCTTCAGGAGTGCTTTTAAACAACAGAACACGACCACGACAAGCGGGTCAAACAGAGAATTTAGGAGCAACGACAAAAAAGAGAGGGGAGTGTGGTGATGGGAATCACTTCCTGAAGCCGGGCTGGAATCAAATAGTATAGATACATTCAATAGGAGCCCAGATCTTCACAGAAGGGAAAGGGCAATTGAGGGTGTGAGAAGAGTGGAGCTGTGGGCGGTAGTGTGCGGAAGGATGGAGAAACCGTGGGTGTGTGAGGGAGTGGAGAGAGAGTGGGGAAGATCGGAATACAGGTCATGAAAGGAAGGGAGGAAATGATGGAGTGGGGGATATATTGTGTGGGACGATGGGAGTGAGTGGGAGAGATGTCAATTGTTTTCAATGTAAGGACCTGAGACATATCAGGGGGCAGTGAGTGACCATTGGTGATAGAATCCACACACTCGATCTTACCCCGCAGAGTGACTCCACTCGCTCACTCTCTGGTGATGTGAGCTCTCGTCCGTTCATCTGTGTAGTATATTTACACCAATAATTTCCTGCCCTGATCTCCGATGTTGTGAATGTTGCCGTGTTGCTATTCTCTGGAGCTGTCCGTGATGCGATAATATTGCCGTCTCTGTATAAAGAGAAATTGCTGCCAGGATAATTCCCAGCACATGAGATCTCAGCGCTTTCCCCTCTCACAAATACCCGGGAAGCTGGCTTCATGGAAATTATGGGTTTCTGGTGCGGATCTGGAATTATAAAATAATAAAGATAATCGTACAATAATTCGATCGGTGACACGAAAATGAATCAGTTCACAGTAAAACTGACCATTTGCTTGTTTCGCCGCCTTGAATAGGTGGTCAGCACGTGTGGAAAGAGGAGAGGTGGAGGGAATGGTTCAGCACAGACAATGAGTAAATGTTTCTTTGCAGAGAGTGAAGAAGAACGATGGCTGAGAATGGGTTGCACATGGATGGTGGTGAGGCCGGTTAAAGGGATTACATACAGCTCCAGTCTGGGACGGGAGGACGGGAATTTAGTCTGTACATCTCGAGTGATCTTCAGATGTTTGTAATCAACAGTGTAAGATCGCAGGCCATTAAACAGAGGATTTAGAAGCAACGACACCACAGAGATGGGAGTGAAATGATCAGAATCACTGCCAGAAGTAGGGATGGAATCACACAGCAAACACACATTGAAGAGGAAGCCAGATTCCACAGAATGGAAAGCGGAATACAGGCTATGGGAGCGAAGGTGCGGTTGGGAGTTAGTTTGTGGCAGCGATGTAGCAACAGAGTCTATGGGAGAGAGGGAGCAGAGAGTGCAGAAGAAAGTAATAGAGAGTGTGGGAGGAAGGGGCAAGTGGGGGAGAGGGGAATGGAGGAAGGGAGTATGTAGTATAGAGAGGAGCAGAAGGTGTGGAAGAAAGTAAGTTACATAGGGTCTGAGAGGGAGGGAGGAATAGAGGTGTGCAAGTGAGTGAGAGTTCGAGCGTAGCAACGAAGGGTGTTGGAGGGAGTGAGCAATGAAAGGCTGTGGGTGGTGAAGAAGAGAGAATGAGTGGTGAAGAGAGGGAGGGATGAATAGAAAGTTTGGAGAGCGGAGGAAAGGGGAGAAAGTTGTGTCACAGCGCGGGTGAAACAAGTGGGAGGATGGGGGGGGAAAGGCTATGATCGCTGTAATTGGACATAAGGGTCAGTATATGATACTTGGTGAGAGTTCAGGCTCTCGAACTTACCCCACATAAAGATTCGCAGTCGCTCGCTCTCTGGTGATGTGAGCTCTCGTCCGTCAATGCGTTTAGTATATTTACACCAGCAATATCCTGCACTGATCTCCGATGCGGTGAATGTGGCCGAGTTTTTGTTCTCTGGAGCTATCCGTGAAGCGATAACCTTGCCATCTCTGTATAAAAAGAAATTGCTACCAGGATAATTCCCAGAACATGAGATCTGAGCACTTTCCCATCTCATAAACAATCGGGAATCTGGTTGAAGTGAAATATTGGGTTTCTGGAGCGGATCTGCAAAAAAAAAAAGCGCAAAGATAATCGCACGAACACTATCTCTGTCATATGAGTGCAATTCGGGTCAGAGTAAGTGTGACCATTTGCTTCTTTCTCAGCCTGCAGAGGTGTCACGACGGAGAAAATTGGGCGGGGTTAAGGTGGAGGTGCACGACAGACCCAAGCAATCGTTTCTTTACACAGACGGAGGGTTAACCACGGATGGGAGCGTGATGGCCAGGGAGGATAATAAGGCCGCGTACCGGGATAACACACAGTTCAAGCCAGGTATGGGAGGACGGGAATTTAATTTGAAAGTCTCATCTGAACCGACGGGTTCAAACAGAGAATTGAGAAACAACGACAGCACACAGAGCGGAGTTAGTTGGTGGGATTCACAGCTTGAATCGGGACTGGAATCAGACACTATAGAAACACTCAACAGGAGGCCAGATCTTCACAGGATAGAAAGGGGAATGGAGTGTGTGGGAAGGAGTGCGGATCTGGGCGAGATTGTGTGGGAGAATGTAATAGCCGAAGGTGTGTGACGGAGGTGAGAGTGTGGGAAAGATTGGAATGCAGGGAGGGAGGGAATAGCGGAGAGCGGAATATATTGTATGAGAGGAAGGGAATAAGTGGGGGAAACGTCAGTTACTTTTGCTCCGAGGACTTGTGTCACGTCACTCTTTGTCTAAAAGAAGTCAATACAGCCAGAAATTTAAATCCACAGCGTTCAGATGCTACAACTTTGCTCAGCCTCATCTCCTGTGAAAAGCATCTCCCCCTCTGCTCAGACCCTCACCCTGTGCTGAGCCACTCCGCCTGTTCTCAGACCCTAACCCTTTGCTCAGCCACATCCCCTGTGGTCACCCTTCCCAATGTGCTCAAAAGTTTCTCTGTGCTCAGCTCCTTCTCACGGTGCCCAGCGGCTTCCGATGTGCTCTTCCCACCCCCACCAGTACTCCGCCCCGAGCTCGACACCTCCACTCACCCAGCCTTTTATCCGTCCCACTCTCCACACCAACTGTGCTCTCCCTGTGATCAAGTATGCTCAGTACGCCTATACTCATCCCGCTTTGCTCACCCCAGTATGCTATGCTCATCCCTCTTTTGTTGCCACCATTTCCTCAAACTCCTGTGCACACATCCACAATGCTCAAATGCTCTGTTTTTACCCACCTGTGCTCTCCCCACTTTGCTTGTCTCGCCTGTTCTTATCCACACTTTTCTCAATAGCCATTGCTCAACCAAAAGCTGTGGCTACCACCTTATGCTCCATCCACCCTCTGCTTACAGCTTTTGCTCATTCTCCCTGTAATTATCCACTTGTGCTCACTCCCCTGTGCTACCCCCCTTGCCTCGCCACCCATTACAAATCCTACCTGCGGTCGAACCACTTTGTTCCCCAACGCTCAACATCCCAAATGTGCTCACCCATCATTGTGCTCATGTACCACCTGTGATAAACCATCCCTTTGATCAGCCGAAGCCTATGCACAAAACCGCTGTGCTCAACCCCTGTGCTCATCCCCCGCTGTGGTCTCCTGCTGTGCTCATAACGCACTGCTCTCACCACCCTGTTCTTACCCTCTTCTACTACCCTAACCTGAGCACACGCTCCCGTGCTCCCAAAATGTTCTTGGCCCACCCAGTATTCAAGCTCTCTGTGGACACCCCACGGTACTCACCGACCCTGTGCGCATCCTCTTATGGTCACACCACTATACTCCTCCTCTGTGATCACCCGCTAGTTCTCAACCCCAGTAATGACCCCTCTTCTCCCTACCACACTGTGCTCGCCCTCCTAGTTTTACAACCCTGTGCTCACACTTTGTACTCACCTCCCATATACACACATCACCTACAATCACTCACACTACGCTCACACTACCCTTTGATCATCACACCACTGCGCTAACCCCCCTGCTCCGACACACCCGATTCTGAACTATTCTGTGCACACCCAACTACGATCACCTCCGTTTGCTAACACCCCGTTATTGATGCACTGTCCTGCACCCTATTGCTCTCACCGCCGCTGTGCTCTTCCCAGTTGCTCTCCCCGCCCCTACGATTTCCCGATTTTGCTCAGCCTCCATTGAACACCACCCTGTGCTTACGCTATTTCCCTCAACACCCATTGCTCTCCTCCACCTGTGCTAATGCTCTTGAACACAGCAATCATTACTCTGCACCCTGCGCTTACTCTTTTGTGCTCACCCACCATTGCTCTCCCACACCTGTGCTAAATCCTTGTGCTCTACCACCAGTGCACTTCTCCGGTGTTTGCTCACACAGTGTTCAACCCCCATTGCTGCCGCCACCCCTTGCTTAACCTTCAACCTCTAAACTCACTACACCTACGTTCATCACCGCTGTGCTCACTTCAGTACTGTGCTCACCCTTCCAATACAAAATACTTCTCCGCTGACCCATCGCTGTGTTCATCCCACCCTGTGCTCAACCGTCCTTGTGCTCACCACACACTTGTCCACTACACCTCAATGCTCATCACCCCCTGCATTAATCACCTTGTGCTCATTCATCTGTGCACGCAACCATGTTCTTGCTCCCCATGTGCTAACCTGTCGTGTCCCGCCCTGTGCTCCCACCCACTTAAGCTCCACACCCCCATGCTAACATTCCTTTCCTCAGCCGTCTGATGCTCCCCGCCACCCACAGCTCAAAGATCCGAAGCTTCGCTCCACGTTGATCTTAAACTATTGTACTCCTCTCCCTGCTCTCGCCCCACCCTGTGGCCACACCACTGTCCTGACCGACACTGTGTTCACCCGTCTGTGCTCAATCCGCTGCTTTCACATCGCTCTGCTCATCTCCCCTGTGCCGACACTCCCATATTCACCGCACACCACCGCCAATCCCACTTTACCGAACCCTGTTCTCACCATCCCTCTTTGCAGAAACTCCACATTTGCTCATCCCTCCCTCTGCACAAAAGCGAACTGTGCTGCCCCATTCTCTGGCTTACACCACGGTGGCCCCCACCCATGTTCTCACTTTCCCTGCGTTCATCGCCAACTCTCACCCATTGCTCTCGCCACCGTGCTCACGCACTTCGCTCATCCACCCTAAGCTCATCCGCTGATTAATTCTACGATTTGCTCATACCCCTATGCTCATGTCACCTAAGCAAACACAAACTATTCTCATCCCCGCTCTGCTCACCCTCGCTGCGCTCAACCAACACTTGTGCACACACCAATCTTATTTTAAGAATAATGAACTCATCCCCCTGTGTTCACAAACCTCGCAAACTGATCACAAAACCCTGTGCACACATCCTCTTTGCTCAGCTCCCTTTAGCTCACGACATTTGATCAACTACCTCTGTACATAAACCGCAATGCTCACTAACCATTGCTCACGAAACTGTGCTCCCACACTTCTCCTTAACTCCTAATGTTAAACCACAATTGCTCTCTGCATGCGTCTGCTTACCCCCTGGTGCTCACTCCCAATGATCTTAAACCTCTGTGCTATCCCCTGTTGTGCATACTAACTCGTATTCCACACCCAATTCTCAGACGCTTTTGGACGCCCACTTGTGCTCCAAACCGTTCAACACCTCAGCGGTGTCCACCACTACATTTTGCTACGCCCGCCCTGCGCTCAACCCCAAACAACTTGTGCTCTCCATACTTTTTCATCCCCTGTGCTCAATTTCATGGTACTTTAATGAAAGGCACCTTATTTTCCTCCCTTATGCACACACCTAGCCTAATCGATACTGTGGTCAACATTTACCGTGCTCACCCCATCCCTGTGCAAACCCCAATCCATGTACACAACCACCTATGCCCTCACACCCTTTGCTCAAATCCACTGTGCTCCCCCATAATAATAATCCTTGCATTTGATATAGCGCTTTTCACGTCTGGAGTACGTCCCAAAGCGCTTCACAGAACACACTGTAAAGTGAATTGTCTGTATATTTGTTTGCGAACGCGGCAGCCAATTGCGCACAGCAAATTCCTACAAACATTCGTAGATTGAAAATGACCAATTTATCATTGTTTTTGCAGGAATTATTATTAGGCGTGTGGAGTAAGGAAACGTGCCCAAGGTTTCGCCCTGCCTGGAACTGAACTCAGGTCTCTCACTTACAAAGCGATTGCTCTAACCGCTGAGCTACAGGACTCCACAATCTATGCTTAACCACTTGTTCTCTCCCGCCTTTGGTATCCCCGCTGCGCTTACGCATCCAAATCTCACCCTCATTTCTCTGCCGCAAGTACTTTCCACCGAGCTTATCAGCTTTTATGATACACGCTGTGCTAACCGCCTGTTCTCTACCTTCCCTTGTGTTCATCAGTCCTGTTGAAGTCCGCTTTTCTCCCACCATTCCGGCTGATGCACCCTGCTCTATTCACTGCTCCCCGTACTCCCCTCCACTCATTCCTCCAACTCTAACGGTGCTCACCCAATGCATATTCACCCCTCTTTGCTAACACGCATCTCCCTGCGTTCTCTCCACTAGTGCTGAACCACACTTGTCTCCCGCGTTCACACTGTTCCCCCTTTCGCACCAATCACTATGCACACCACCGCACTTCGCTCACACGTCTGTGCTCAAAAATCCTATGCTCATCCCCCTTTCTCACCGCTGTGTGCTCAAGCACCTGTGCTCTACCGCTGAGCCACCCCACCTGAACTTATCTACCTGTGCTTATCCCCATTGTAATCAACCCCCTGATTCTCATCCGTGCATGTGCCCGCACACCTGTGCATACCCTTCCACCTTTGATCAGGACGAGGGGGAGGGTTTGAGGGGCAGGATTAAAGACAGATTCCAGCACGTGTTCCTTTAAATACAGGCTGGGAAGCGACGGCTGGGAGCTGGGTGGATAGCGTAGAAATGCACAGTATCAGTCTAGAACGGGAGGGCGGGAAGTCTGTTTTAATCTCAATTCGGATCTACAGGTGTTCTTTTAAAAAAAGGACAATATAACATACAGGGGATTAATCTGAGTATTTCGGAACAACCGTTTCACACAGAGGAAAATATAATGGGACTCAATGGATGGACCTGGAGTGAATTCACACCGTTTAGGTGCACTGAATAGGAACCTAGACCTTCAAGGGAAGGAAAGGGCAATAGGAGCTGGCGAGGGAAGTAGAGTTTCGGCGGAGTGTGTGGGAAGATTATCGCAATAGTGGGAGTGGCAGGGAGGGCGAAGAGAGTGAGTGGGAGGGGAACAGAAAGTTTGGGAGCAAGGGAGTAAGTGGGAAGTAGAGGGCGCAAAAGAAGGAAGGAAGATGTCCAGAGGTGAATAGATAGTGTGGGAGCATTTGAGCAATATACGATGTGAGATGCAGTGAAGGATGGAGGAATAGACGTATGGGAGGTAGGGAGTAAGAGAGGGTTGGGAGGAAGGGTGTGTGAGGGAGTCAGGAATAACGGGTGTGTGGGGGAAAGAATAGAAGTTTAGAGGACAAGGGAGAAGGGATGAATACAGCGTGTGGAGGGTGCAAGGAATGACAGGAGATTCGTTTCGTAGTTTTGGTGAAACAAGATGGAGGATGGGGAGGAGGCGTGCTATATTTGCTGTGAATGGACACAAGCGGGCAGTGAGTAACCACTGGTGATAGAGTCCAGGAACTCGCACTTACCCCACAGAGTGACTCCCACTCGCTCGCTCTCTGGTGATGTGAGCTCTCGTCCGTCCATGTGTTTGGTATATTTACACCAGTAATTTCCTGCCGTGTTCTTCAACGAGGTAAATGTGGTCTTGTTGTTATTCTCTGGAGCTATCCGTGATGCGATAATATTGCCGTCTCTGTATAAAGAGAAATTGCTGCCAGGATAATTACCAGAACATGAGATCTCGGCGCTTTCTCCTCTCACAAATACCCGGAAATCTGGCTTCATGGAAATGTTGGGTTTCTCAAGCGGATCTGGAATTATATTATAACAAAATGAATTACACAAACATTCGCTCTGCGACACGAACATGGATCAGGTCAGAATTGACGTGAGATATTGCTTGCTTCTCAGCCTTTAATAGGTTGTCAGGAAAAGTGGGACAAGAAGCGTTTGACGGACAGGTTCAGGGTAGACCCTCAGTAAGTGATTTTTTACAGTGAGTGAAGAAGAGCGATTGCTGTGAATGGGGTGGACAAGGATGATGGCGATATCGGGGATTGGGATACCACTCAACTGTAGCGTCGGAAGGGAGGACTGAAATTCAGTCAGGACATCTCGTGTGATCTTCGGACGTGTTTACAAAAAAGAGGATATGATCGTAGGCCATTAAACACAGGATTTAGGAGCAACGGCCAGACACAGAAGGAAGTGAAACGATGAAACCCCCTGTCTGAAGCGATGGTGAAATCAAAGATTATAGAATCATTCTGGAGGAATCTAGACCTCCGCAGGAGGGAAAGGGACATATACGTTCTGGCAGCGAGGTAGCAAGTGGGAGGGACTGAGTGGGAGGGATACAGCAACGAAGGGTTTGGAAGTGAGGGGGCAGAGAGTGAGGGAGAGCGTAATGTGAGTATGCAATGTAGCTTGCAAGCGGGGGAGACGGGAATAGAGTGTATGGAGGAAGGAAGGTAGTGGGATAGAAGGGAGTAGCAGGTGTCTGATCAAGTGTGTTATATAGGTTCTGAGAGGAAGGGATGAATAGATGTTTCCATGCGAGTGAGAATTCGAGTTTAGGAGGAAGGGTGTGAGAGGGATTAATAAATGGCTGTGGTTGGGGAAGAAGAGAGAATGAATGGAGAATAGGGAGTGATGAACAGAATGGGGAGACAATCGTCTTAAAGAGCATGTGAAACAAGTGAGAGGATGGGGGGGTGAAAGGGCTGTGAAGGCTGCTATCTGACAACAGTGGCATTAAATGATCAATGGTGAGAGTCCAGGTTCATGCACTTACCCCACATAGAGATTCGCAAACGCTCGCTCTCTGGTGATGTGAGCTCTCGTCCGTCCATGTGTTTGGTATATGTACACCAGTAATTTCCTGCCGTGATCTTCAACGAGGTAAATGTGGCCTTGTTGTTATTCTCTGAAGCTGTCCGTGATGCGATAATATTGCCGTCTCTGTATAAAGAGAAATTGCTGCCAGGATAATTCCCAGTACATGAAATCTGAGCGCTTTCTCCTCTCTCAAATACCCGGGAATCTGGCTTCCTGGAAATGCTGGGTTTCTGGAGCGGATCTGCAATAAAAATGCAGTGACGATAATCACACAAACACACTCTTTGACCATTTGCTTATTTCTAAGCCTGGGGATGTTTCAGGATGAGGGGAATTTGGGCGTGTTTGAGGGGTTTGTTCAGGACAGACCCTCGCAAACGTTTCTTTAACCAGAGGGAGGGTAACGACGGCTTGGAGCGGAGTGGACTGGGTCGACAGTGAGTCCGGGGAGTAGGAAAGCATACAGTTCCAGCCAGGACTAGAGGACGGGAATTTATTCTGAACGTCTTGTTTTATCTTCGTGATTCTTTTTACATAACAGGATAATGCCACGACCAGGGTTTCAAACAGAGAATTTAGGAGTAGAGACTTCACACAGATGGGAATCAGGTGGTGGGACTCACTTTCTGAAGCGGGGCTGAAATCAGACAGCATAGATACACTCAAGAGTAGGCCAGTAGGGAAAGGGGAATAGAGGCTGTGGGAAGGAGTGAGGTTGTGGGCGGCAGAGTGTGGGAAAGATGGAGCAACCGAGGTAATGTGAGGTAGGAGAGAGAATGGGGAAAATTGGAATACTGCTTTTGGAAGGAAGAGAGGGAATGGTGGAGAGGCGAATACATTGTGTGGTAGAATGGGAGTGAGTGGGGGAAAGGTCATTTGCTTTAACGACCTGAATTACGTCACTGTTTGTCTGTAAACAGTCAAATGACCCAGAGAATTCACATCCACTGTTCTCAGTCCCTCCCCTGTGCTCAGCCACTCCCCCCGTGCTCAGCCCCTCTCGCAATGCTCCGCCCCTGTATTGTGGTCAGTCAATCCCGCTGTGCTCAGCCCTTCCCCAAGTGCTCAGCCATTTCCCTGTGATCTGCCACTTACATTGTGATCAGCCGCTCCCTCTGTACTCAGCCTTATCCGTTTGCTCTGCTTATCGCCTCGCGCTCCCCCAATTTGCTGAACACTCTGTGCTCAGCACCCAACGCTTCGATGAACCCCACCCCCCATTTTAGCGACCTCCTGCACTTAACTCACCCTGTGTTCAACACCCCTATGTTCAGCGCCTCCCCCTAGATCCACCCCTGCCCGCCTTGCTCAGGCCCTAGTTTTCATCAACTCTCCTGTGGTCTGCCAAATCCATATGCTCCAGTCCCAGCTGCTCACATCTCTTCGCTCAGCCTCATACCCCACCCTACTGCTTACCCTTTGTGATTTCAAATCCCTCACGTGCTTAGCATCCATGAGTTCATCCCTCCTCTCCTGTGCTAAGCAGCCCTACCATCCCGGGCGACACCGTGCACACAGCCCCCACTCTGTTCAGTGTCGCCCTCGTGCTCAGCTACCAAATGATTCTCAGCCCCCCGGTGATGAGCCAAAACCCAGTGTTTCCCCCTTTGCTCATGCCTCTGTGCTCACACCCAGTGCTCACCACGTGTGCTCAACCCCTCTACTCACCCAAACCTGTGCTCATCCCACTGTATGCACCGCCTATGCTCTCACTGTGATCATTCCCTGTGCTGTATTGCCCTGTACTCAACCCGTGTGCTCATTTCGAAACCCGGGCTACCCGTGATGTGATCACCTTCTGTGATCAGCAAATGTGCTCAAATGACCTACGCTCATCCGCTGTGCTCAACGACTATGATCAGGTCCTGTTCTCACTCCTCCTTTGCTCTCACAGCCTGTGATCACCCACCCCTGTGATCAAACCCTGTGATCACCATCCCAGTTCTCACCCCCTGTTTTCACCACCCTGTGCACAAACGCTGTGTCTCACGATTTGCACCACACCCACTGTACTCACCCTCTATGTACAGCCTCTGTGATCAATACCCCGGTTCTCAACACTTCTGTGCTCTCCCCACACCTATCCGCACAACTTCTGCGCTCACCTTCCGCCACCGATGATCACCACCCTGTGCTCAGCCTCCTATACGCACACCGTTGTTCTTACTCTCACTTTGCTGCCCCGTTGTGCTCCATCGTTATGATCAAATCTCTGCTCCCCCCTCGGGCTCAACACATTGATGCTCCCACCTTGAGCTCACCATCCTGTGTTCAGCACCTGTTCTCGCCCACCCTGCGCTCATTACCGTTGTGAGCACCACGCTGTGCTCAACGAACCTGTGTTCATCCATCTGTGCCACACGCTGCGCTGCTCCTCTGTGCTCACCCGTTTGTGCTCAACCCCGCCTGTGCTTAACCCTTTGCAAAACCCATGTGCACAGCCCCCTACTGTGCTACCCTCTTTGTGCTCACGTCCCCTATGCTTACCCTCCCTTTGCTCAATTCCGCTATGCGCACACTCCGTATTCTCAGCCAATTTTGCTGACCCTCCTCATGTTGCTCAACCAACTGTGCTCGCTTCCCCTGTGGAATCCGCCTTTGGTCACCCAACTATGCTGATCCCCCTGTTGTTTCTACCATGTGTTCAGACCTAGTCTACTCTGCTACACTATGCATAAACCCGCTATGCTCATCCCTTCTGTGCTCACTCCCCGTTTCTCACCGCAGTATGCTCATCCCCTTATTGTTAACACTCTGTACTCACATCCTCTGTGTTTACGTCCTCTTTGCTCAATCCCCTTTGCACACACTCCCTATGCTCAAATACCCTATGCTCAACCAGCTGAGATCACCCACCTTTGCTCACCGCACTGCACTCACTCCCCTGTTCATACCCACACTGTTCTCCACAGCCTTTGCTCTCCCCACCACTGTGGCAAAAATCCTGTGCTGACCCCACGCTGTGCTTACCGCTTCTACTCACTCTCCCTTTATTAACCACTTGTGCACGCTTCCCTTGTGCTTACCCCCCATCCCTACCCGCATTGCTCACCCAGTGAGCTCATCCTACCACTGTTCTGCTCAACCACCTGTGCTCACCAACCATGTACTCCCCCTCTCTACTCAGTCCACATTACTCAGCCCACTTTGATCACACCACTTTGCTCAAACTCCTGTACTCCCTATTCTGTGCTCACACATCTGTGTATTTCGTCCCCCTATGCTCACGTACCACTTTTGCTCAGATATTCTGTTCACTTCCCCAGTGCTCACGTCTCCTGTGCTCACATGTCTCGGCTCAGCCTGCACTGTGCTCGCCGCCTCCCAGTGCTCATGCACACGTGATTACGCCCCATTTCTCACACCCCTCCTCTCACTCCTCTGCTCCACTTCCGTGTTTGCTCAATCCCATGCTCACTCACATGTTATAACACCCATTTACTCAGCCATCTCCAGCAACCCCATCCTGTCCTCACCACACCGTGTACTCACTCACCCGGTGCTCACACGAAAACCTTTGCTGAACCATCTGTGCTCAACTCCCTGTCTTCACACCCATTTGCTCATCCACTCTATGCTCAGACCGCTATGCTGAATCCCCACTGTGCTCAGCACACTCTGTGTTCATCCACTGCTGCTTACCACCGCTTATGATCACATCATCCTGTGCTCACCCGAACGTGCGCTCATCGCTCCACTACTTATTCCGCTTGTCGGAACCCCTATGCTCACTCCCCCTATGCTCAACCTTCCTGTGCTCACCCGCTCTCCCTTTGCTCCCTCACAGTGCTCACACCCCTCTGCTCAAACACCCTGTGCTCACTTCCCTGTCATCACGCCCTACTATTGCTCACCGAACAGAGCACCCCGACAGTACTAACCCTCTTTGCTACCCCCCTCTCTGCGCTCACACAACTTTGAACACCACCCCTTTTCTCGTCTTCCTGAGCTCATCCCGATGCTCAAACACCTGTACTCACAGACGCATGTTCTCAATCTCCCACGCTATGCTCACCCGCCTTTTGTGTTCAATCTTCACTCAACCATTCCCCCCTCCACTGATCGCACCTTCCGCTATGTACATCCTCTCTGTGATCACTCCACTTGTGCCACCTGTACTCAAAGCACAGTGCATACAATCCCCTTTTGCTCTCCTCACCTTTGCTCACCCCATCTCCTTCGGGTTAACCCCTACTGATCCACCCCCTTTACTTGCCCACAACACTTTGCGCTACACCCCTTCCTGCTCACCTCCATTTTGATGAAGTTCCTGTGAGATCCCATGAGTGCTTGACCTTCCCAGTGTTCACCCCATTTTGTGCACCCTTATTTCTCCCTTCCTTGCTCCCGCCACTCTTCCACCCCGAATCCTCGCACATCGTGTTTACCACCCCGCCCCCACAAGAACGATGTGATGATCAGAGGCAGCGTTAATTAATTGAGCCTGAGACGTCGATATTATAGTAGGGTCACGCTGAATAGTTAGCACAGGCCCATGTACGTGACAAATCACATCCAGATTTAACAATAATAACCTCACATATTGTGGGATAGAAAAGTTATCATAGATGTGCTTTACTGAAAACATGAGAACGAAAGAATTATCAGAGACTGAACCATTTACCTGAGCAGATGACGCCGGCATCAGAGGAGTGTGACCAGGAATAGTGACCCCAAGTCCCTGATGGACAATCCCTCAGTGCACGTTCGCTCCCTTTGCACTGAACACCATAAGTGGAAATGGAACCTGAACCTCTGCCAAAGTGAGCGTCTCCTGGTGCTAATAACGCAGCTCCACAGCCCAACGCCTTACACACCACAGCCGCAGCCTTCATATCCCAGGTCAGATCATAGCCATAATAGCTGTAGCCGTAAACTGTGCCCCATTGTCCATCGTGGTAAACCTCCACCCTCCCGGCACACGGACTGCTGCCATTCACCAGCCTCACACTCACAGCCTCTGAAAAACATCACACAGTTTATTAAATGTCTGTTTCCAGGTTGATTTCCAATCCCCCAGCCCGTCAACAGGCGCAGATCAGCCTCTTCCATCCACTGTACAGCTCCCTTCAGAGCATAGCGAGCCCTCCGCTCCCACATCACGCCCCCAACCCCGCAGAACAGAGACCACTCCCCCAGGACATAACGCCACCCAAACAGGCGCCGCCCACCCAAGTGAAAGCTACAAGACCCAACGCTCAGGGCAAAGACAACCACCAAGGCACAATTCAACAGACATAGTCTCTTCTCCTGCAAAAGGACCCGCCCAGACACAGTCCTTCCGAAAAGGTAGAGCCACAATCTCCAAAGAATTGCTCACATCCGTAGCACAGCCACGCCCCGCACCCTCCCCATTCCAGTGTACAGCCATACTCCCCAGGACATAGCCACATCCCAGGCATAGTATGCTCCTGGCAAAGACCACTTGCAGAGGCGCAAACCCTCCCTCAGCGCACAACTCCCTCCTGCCACCCCCAACGGCATGATACCTGTCCGAGTCCCCGAGACATATCTGCCCCCCTCCCCCACCAGGGAACAGCAGAGACTCCACAGCCCAAAAGAGACTGGCACAGAACCCTCATACACAACAAATCCAATGAAGACTTGGACGTCCTCCCGAAATGAAAGCCGGAATAAAAACGTAATAACTTTGTTTTTGTTGCAGTTCTTGTTCTCCAAGGATCGGCCATCCACCAGGCACTGCTGCGTCGCCTCCTCGTGCAGAGTCGCTCCGAAATGCACAGACACCCCCCTCCACATAGTGACCAGTCACTTCTCCAGAGGGAATCAAACCCTCCCCAGGATACATCCTGTTAAGACGTCCCAGGGCACAGCCCCTCCTTACAAACCTCCCCCACAGGCACCACCCTCCCCATGGCACATTCGACATCAGGAGCCCTCTGCAGTTCACATCCCTTCCCCAGGGCAGAGGTGTCCCAACTCCAACAGCCTTTACCCCCCGGCATAGCCCCTCTCGGAAAACAGCTCTAATCATTATCAAACATTGGAGCAGTCCATGTAGCCGCACCCTCCAAACCACCCACCTCTCCCGCTCAATTTTTCACCATCCTCCCAGTTGACACCTTATCAAATAGCGTCTGTAAACCCAAAAACACAGCAGCCACATCAACACGAACTGTTATTTATGCAGCGACCCTCACAACGGATAGCGTTTCAAAGCGCTTGACAGAGGCGCAACAAGAATCTGAGCCGGTGGCTAAGGGAGCAGACCTGAGGCGCGATCGAATGGGAAGGTCTTCAGGCTCCCACATGCAGATGGAAAACGAAAGGGCAAGGCGGTGTGATGGAGGAAGATTGTTTCAGGGTTACTGGACTTTGGGGCTAAAAGCGCGGTACCGTTGGCGGCGCGAAGTTTAAATTGAAGTTGAGTGGAGTTGAAGAGAGGCCGAGTCTCGCACTCAGCAGCTAGTTTTCCCACAACAGCTTCTGGCTGTGAGATTGTGTTACGTACCTGCAGATTCCACAGTCTTTCTCTCCAGAAATATCACTGAACAAGGGGAAAAAACAAGAGATTAGCAATCATTAATTAGGTAATTCACACAATCAAGAATCTGATCTGCCCGATCTCTCACACCATCAATATTCTGTCCTGATCAACAGGGCAGCCATTGAAATTCATCACGAAAAAGGGCCCCAGTGGGGAACGCACACTATGACAGGCACGACAGGGAGAGAGAGGATGGCAATTGATCAGATGAGAGAGCAGCAGTGGAAGAGTAAGCACCAGCACAGACACGACAGGGAGAGAGAGAGCAGAGGATGGGGTTATAACAGAGCGCTCCAGTAGGGGCGAGCAACACCATTTTTTTCAATCAAAGCGTCGTAGAAATCTTTAATTCTCTCCCACAATTACCGTGGATGCTGGCGAATATCCATCCTTACCTTGAAGAGTGAGGTTGGTAGTGTTTTGTTAAGTCAGTGTATTCAGGGACGTGAGGAGAAAGCAAGGGATTGGAATTGAAAGGATTAGTTGAGGTACAGGTCAGGCATGCTCTAATTAAGTGGCGGATCAAGCTCGAAGGGCTGAGGGGCCTTCTCGTTCCCATGTTCCTTGACTCAACAGGGGGAGCATTGTGGAATGTGATCAAAGTAGAGAGCTCCATTGGGAGCACCAGCACAGACATGATGGGGAGAGCAGTGGGATTGGGACTGAACACAAAACTCTTCCACAGACCCACACACGCATCAACTGGTTGAACAAAATTTTTTGTATGCGAGGATTGCTTGTGTTTGTGTTTCGGATTTGCTTTTCGAAAAAGAGTATGTTTGGTGACGGCACAGAAACTGAAACTCCTTTCCTCACCTCCCTTCTCTCGCTTCTCCTTTCTGCTTTCCCCTCCCCGCTCTAATCTCCTCTCCACTCGCTCCTCTCTACACCATATCCTCTCCTCTCTACTCTGCTGATCCTGTCCTCTCCTCCCCTCTCCCCTCCTATCTCTCCTCTCCAACCCTCGCTCGTCTACTCCCATCGATCCTGTCCGTTCCACTCTCCACTTCACCACCCTCCTCTCTTCTCTGCTTCCTCATCTCCTCTTCCCTCGCTCCTCTCCTCACCTCTCTCCTCCCTTCTCTCCTCTCCCCTCGCTACTCACCTCTGTCTGCTCCCTTCTCTCTTTTATCAACTCCTCTCGCGTCTAACCTCTGCACCTTTTCTCGCACAACTCTCTTCTCCCCATCTCCGTCTCCTCTCTCCTCTACTCCCCTCACACATCTCTCCGCTCCCATCCTTCCTCTCCTCTCCCAACTCTCCTCGCGCTTTCGCCTCTGCCATATGACCTCTCTCTTCTCTCTTCTCCTCTCCCAGCTTTCCTGTTTCCTTTCTATTCTCACCTCTCTCTCCCTCTCCTCTCTTATTTCTTCTCCCATTTTTGCTCTCTAATTTCCTGCCTCTGCTCTTATCCCCCTGACTCATCTCCTCTCTGCTCTTCCTCTCGCTCATATCCTCACTCTCCTCACCCCTCTCTCTTCTTTGGCCTCTATCTTCCTTCCTCTCCTCTGCCGTCTCTCCTCATCTCATCTCTTCTCTGCTCGCCTCGGTATCTGGCAGGAACAACAACAAGTTACACTGACACTACGCTTTTGAGTCAAGGGACCTTCTCACGGCTCTGAACAGCCAATGATTTTAGGTGGAGGATCTTGAGACCTTCTCCCAATTCATCAGTTTTGCTCAGGCTCCACTTGCTCCCAAGCACCGAACGGATCGTGGTGCATGAGAGGACACGGACTGCAGATTTCTGGATGATCGGCAGCCTAAGGATGAAAGAGTTGGAGAGGCCGACAAGCAGGGAGATTGCGTAGTCGAACCTGGATGTGATACATGCGTGGATGAATTTCTCGGCGGCATTCAATGAGAGAGTGTGGCGGAGAACAGCAATTTTGCAGAGCGGGGGAAAGGCCCAGCGGGTCGTGGCATAGATGTGCTGATGAAGGAAGGCTGTGTATCGAAAATGAGTCGAGGTATGTTTCTCTGATTGAGTTAGAAACTATACTCACCGAGTAGGAACACAAAAAATGGCTTCATCGTGAGGACGAAGGCGGAGCTGGTGATAATCAAAGACTGAAGGCTTGTGTCTGTGTCTGGAGGGGCGGGGTCTCCACAGACTTGGAGAAAAACACACGGTGGAGAGCTCAGGAGCAGCTTTTCTGCGATCACTGAGCTCTACGATCCCCAAAGAATCACTTCCCTGAAACACACAGATTCTGAAACTTTTTCTCGGCACTGAACACAGGAAAGCAGCATAGTCATGGTGCTTTCACTGGAACTAAAACACCCCTGTCATGCACACCTCCACCATTGTGTATCTGTAGGGATGAGGGACAACATTTATCTGGAGACACAAGTCAAACTGGGAATGTTCTCCTTACAGCAGAGAAGTTTAAGGTGGGATTTAGTTGAATTAGGGATCAATATTATGAGGGGGTTTTGATGGCTTAGATAGGAAGAAACTGTTTCCACTGCCGCGTGGTTTAGTTAGCTGAGGACACATATTCAAGATAATTGGCAAAATAACTAGATGGAAAAATAGACAAGGAGAAATATTTTATCGAAAGTTGTTAAGGCATGGAAAGCATTGCCTGAAAGGGTGTTGGAAACAGATTCAATAACAACTTGGAAAAGGGAATTAGAGAGGTACTTGAAAAGGGAATTGGATGGAGACATGGGGGGACAGGTGGTCGATTGAGGTAATTTAAATGGGAGCATTTAAAAGGATATGGGGAAAGATTGTGGTTGCATGACTGATGGGGTAGCTCTTCCAAGGAGCTGGCGCATGGATGATGGGTAAAACGACTTCCTTTCGTGCTGAGAATATTAGCATTCTCGGAATATATAATTCACACACCCCGTGTCATTCTCGCCAAATTGCGACAGCCTGGCCCCAATTCACAGACCGTTATACAGAACAATCCACGGGATATAGAGTCAATTAGCTTTACAGTATATCAGACAAAGCGCTTTGAGGTGTCTCGAAGACGTGATAAATCGCGGAATCAAGTGCAAATATTGTTATTATTATGATTTTCATGCAGAATATTACACTGGATGTCGTGGATTCTGATCTTTCATTAAACTCAGCCTCACCTGGAGCCACGTCAACCCCCTGAACCTCCTCATCTAATCGCTATCCCGAACCCTGACCCAGACGCTGACCATCTCCCTAAACCAGCATTCAACTTCACCCTGAACCTAAACCTGACCCTAAAACCCAAATCCGACACTATACCTGACACAAAGCTGAGCCTCACTAGGCAATCACTAACCTGAGCTTCAACTTTATTTGGTGGAAAACCTAAAAACAAAAAAATACTGTAGGAAGCGAAATAGGAACAAGACTTGAGATATCCAGTTTGATTACGGTTCTAAGTGTACTCTCTATAAATACATATACTTGCGCTTTCCTCATTACACCACCAGAGCATCTCAAACCGCTTTACAGGCTGCCCAAAAGCAAACAAAATATGCTTGTCTGTTTGTCATTCGGTCTGTACGTATCTCTATGTTTCTCTCTCTCTCTTACACACATACATAAACACATACACACACAAAGTGTCTCTCGTACTCTCTATCTCTCTCTCACACACACCGAACATAAGGCCATAAGACATAATAGTAGGAGTAGGCCTTTCGGCACCTCGAGCCAACTCCGCCATTTAATAAGATAATGCCTGATTTCTACACTAATTCCATTTACCCACCCTATCTCCATATCGCTTAATCCCTCTATCCTTTAGAAATCTATCAACCTCAATTTTGAACAGGTCAAAGTACTGAACATCGATAGCATTGTGGGCTACAGAATTCCACAAGTTCACCCTTTGAGTGCCGAAATGTTTCCTAAATTCAGTTCGAAAAGGCTGATCCTTAACCTTGAGGCTATGAACCTCGTGTTACATTCTCCAACCCGGGGAAATCCTCTCCAGGCAACTTCCCTGTTAAGAACCTTAAGAATCTTGACGTTTTCTTTAAGATCACCTCTATGTCTTCTATATTGTCGAGAATATATGCCTAGTTTACTCAACCTAGCTCATAGGTCAACCCCCTCATCCCATTATTCAATCTAGTGAACCCTCTCTGAGGCGAGTATGGCCTTTCTAAATAAGAAGACGAAAACTGCACATTACAAAATTCTAGTTGCCGTCTCATCAAGTCCTTATACACTGCAGCAAGACTTCCTTACTCTTGTACTCTAAACCTTTTGCAACGAAGTCCAACCTAGACATTTTTCTTCCTTGTTGCTTGCTTTCCATGCCTGCTAAATTTCTGTGATTATAATCCGTGATTGGTGTACAAGTACAACCAAATACCTCTGGCCACTAACAATACCTCGGCTCTTCCCCTCTATAAAATCATCCACTTTTCTACTTTTACTACCTAAGTGAAAAACGTCACAATTCCCCACGTTATACTCCATCTTCCACCTTCTTTCCAAGCTACCTAGCCTGTCTACTTTCCTTTGCATTCTTCTCGTGCCATTCTCACAGGTTTCTCTCCCACCTAGCTTCGTGTCGCTCGCGAATCTAGACGCGTTAAGTTCTCTTCCGTCATCTAATTCATTGATATATATTCTGAATAATTGAGGTTCAAGCACTGGTCCTTGTGGCACTCCACTGTTCACCACCTGCCAATCTGAGAAGGTCACCTTCATCCCTGTGGTCTGTTTTCTTCCTATTAACCACTCTCAAATCCATGCGAATATATTACCATTAATTCCATAGGCTCTAATCTTATGCAGCAGCCTTTTATTTGGCAGCTTGTCGAATTCCTTCTGGAAATCAAAATACACCACAACTACACCCTATCTAACCTGTTAGTTGAATACTCAAAATTATCAAAAATATTTGGTAAAAATGACTTCCCTTTCGTAAAGCCACGATGAATCTGCCTAATCATGTTATGATTTTCTAAGTGCCGTACGACGGTGTCCCTATTTCAGCACCCTAGAGTTTTCCGCTATCACCGATGTCAGACTAACTGGTCTATCGTTCCCCATTTTTCTTGTCTCCTAGCCTTCTTAAACGTTACGTTTGCGACCTTTCAATCAATGGGAACGTTTCAAATCCAGGGAATTTTGGAAGATCATTAACAAAGCATCCACTATCTCTGCAGCGAACGTTTTTAATACCATAGGATGCAGGCTACCGTTCCGGTGGATTTATCGGTTTTTAATCCGATGAATTCCTCTAGTACAATTTCTTTATTGATGTTCATTTCTTTAAGTTGATCACTAACATTCGGCTCTATTTTCGGTAAGTTTTCAGTGTCCACTAACGTGAATAAGGAAGCAAAATATTTGTTTAATGACGCTGCCATTTCTTTATTGCACATTATAATTTCGCCTGTCTCTGCCTCAGTGGACTCACATTCACTGTTGATAGTTTCTTCCTGCTTATGTACTTGTAAAAAATCTTACACTCTGTTGTATTCCTAAATAGTTTACACTCATATTCCGTTTTCTCCCTCTTAATCAGTTTTGTGGTTTTCCTTTGCTGATCTCTAAAGCCCTCCCAATCCTCAGGTTTACTGCATTTTTGGCAGTATTTTATGCCCCTTAATCTTATACTTTTCCTAACTTCCCTAGTTATCCCAGCTTGAACCACTTTTCCCTTGGAATTTTTATTTTTCAATGTAATATGTGATCCTTAAGAATTATGTGCTACATCTTGAAACGTTTTCCACTGCTGCTCCACTGTTATGTTTTTCATCTAATTACGACGTCTATTTTATCCAAATCTTCTCTTATACATTCAAAGTTGATTTTATTTAAATTTAAAATTCTTGCTTCGGATTCGACTATATCAATCTCTAACTTAATGTTGAATTCCATCATGTTTTGGAGTCCTGTAGCTCAGTGGTTAGAGCACTCGCTTTGCGAGCAAGAGATCTGGGTTCACTTCCAGGCAGGTCAGGGCGAAACCTTGGGCAAGTTTCCTTACTCCACACAGAGCCTAATAATCCCTCCAAAACAAAAAACAATAACAAATTGGTCATTTTCAATCTACGACTGTTTGTGGGACATTGCTGTGCGCAATTGGCTGCCGCGTTCGCCCACAAATATACAGTCAATTCACTTTACAGTGTGTTCTGTGAAGCGCTTTTGGACGTCCTCCCGACGTGAAAAGCGCTATATCAAATGCAAGGATTATTATTATATTATTATTATTATGTTATGATCACTCTGCCCGAGAGGAACCTTGATTTACAGATTGCTGATTTGCTCTTTTCATTACACAAAACAAGTTCCAGGACAGCCAGTTACCTGTTTGGTTCCTCAGCATATTGTTCTAGAAAAATATCTCTAATGCAATCTATAAACTCATCCTACAATTTAGTGAGTGTATCTCTTTCACTGTGTGTGTGTGTATCTGTCTCATTCTGTGTGTATTTCTCTCATTCTGTGTGTGTTGTTGTCTCACTGTTTGTGTTTACTCTCACTGTGTGTGTGTCGCTGTCTCAATCTGTGTGTGTTCCGCTCAGTGTGTGCGTTCGTATCTCTCCCTTTCACTCCATTTATGTGATGTGTTTCTCTCCACACTGTGTGTGTGTGTATTTCTCTCTCTGTTTCTCCTTCGCGCTGTGTTTGTTTACTTCTCACTCTCTGTCACTGTTTCGCCCTTACTATGTGTGTATTACTGCTTCTGTCTGGCCACATTTCTCTCATACGGTGTGTTTATTTCTCTCTCTCTCTTCTCTCTCTCTCTCTCTCGCTCTCTCTCACTGTGAGTGTATAATCTCTTCCTGTGTGTGTGCTTGTATCTCTGCCCCACTGTGTGTGTCTGTTTTTCTCTCTCACTCTGTGTGTGTCTGTGTATGTCTCACCCTCTGTGTATGATTAACATCTCTCTATCTCTCTTTTTCCCTCGCTCGGCGTTTGTATATCTGTCACACAGTGCTTGTGTTTTTCGCTCACTCTTTTGGTATATATATATATATCTTTCACTCAATCTCTGTCTATGTATCTCTAAGTCTGTGTTTGTGCATTTCTCTATTACTCAGTTTGTGTGTATGTTAATCTGTGAGTGTGTGTATCATTTCTCACTCTCCGTTTGTGTTTCTCTCTCACTCCATGTGTTCCTCTCACACACTGTCTGTGTGTTTCTCTGTCACTCTGTGTATGTTTATTTTCTCTTTTTCTGCGACTGTGTTTCTCTCACAACCTATGCGGGTGTTTCTCTCTCAAGCTGAGTGTGTTTTTGTGTATCTCTCTATCACTGCTTGCGCGTTTCTGTGTGCGTATTTATGTATACATTTCACTCTGTGTGTGTATCTCTCTCATTTAGCGTGTGTGTATTTCTCTCTCATTCTCTGTGTATGTATTCCTCTCACAGTGTGTGTTACTCTTCCACTCTTTGGATGTGTACCTTTCTTATTCTGCGTGTATAAATCTGTGTGTGAGTGTGTTTCTCTCTCATTTTCTGTGTGTACTTTTCGCGCTGTTTGTGTGTTTTTCTCTCTCACACTTTGTGTATTTTTTGTCTCATACTGTGTGTGTTTTTCTGTCTCACACTCTGTTCGCTTCTTTCTCACACTTTATGTGTCTCTCTCTCACACATTGTGTGTGTCTCTCGCACACATTGTGTGAGTTTTTCTCTCACACTCTGCGTGTGTTTCTCTCGCACACTTGTTTCTCTCTCACTCTGTGTCTCTATTTCTCTCTCACTCCATGTGCTTGTGTGTTTCTGTCTCTTTTTCACTTTAACGCTGTGTGTGTATTTCTGTCTCTCTCTGTTTCTCTCTCATATTGCCTGTGTGTGTTTCTCTCTTTCTCTAAGTCTGCGTATTCCTGCCACACCCTGTATCTGCTTCTCTCTCATTCTGTGTGTGTTTCTCTCCCATTGTGAGTGTGTTTCTCTCTTTTTGTGTGTGTGTGTTTCTCTCTCACTCTGTATGTGTTCCTCGCTCACTCTCTGTATGTGTTTCTATCTAAAACTGAGCTTCTTTTTGTGTTTTTCTCTCTCACATTTGTCTGTGCTTCTCTCTCACTCTCGGCGTGCGTTTCTATTTCACTCTGTGTGGGTCTCCCTCTCACTTTGTGCGTGCGTTTCTATTTTAATCTGTGTGTTTCGTTCTATCACTCTGCGTTTGTTTATCTCTCTTCATCAATCTCCGTGTATTTCTCTCAAAGTGTATTTGTGTTTCTCTTCCACACTCTGTGTGTGTTTTTCGTTCACACCGTGTATGTACTTCTCTCTCTCCGTGTTTCTCTCTCAAACTGCGTGTGTTTATTTGACTTTATGTGTTCTCATTCACACTGCGTGTGTAGTTCTCTCTCTCCATTACTCTGTGAAACTTTGTGTGTATTTTTCCTTCTCTGTCCAGCACGTTAGGCAGTCCTCCAGAAGTGAAAATTGCCATAAAAACGCAATTTTGTTGTACGTTTTGCTGTTTCTCTCTCATGTTGTGTGTTTATTTCTCTCTCTCTCTGTCTCGCTCGCTCTCGTTATCACCCACAAATACATACATACACACCACGCACGTACGCAAATTATCTCCCGTACTCGCTGTGTCTCTCACATACACAACGAACTTAAGACCATAAAATATAATAGCAGAAGAAGGCCATTCTGCCACTCGAGACAACTCCACCATTTAATAATATCATGGCTGATCTTCTACCCTAAATCCATTTACCCGACCTATCCCCATATCCCTTAATCTCTCTATCCTTTAGAAACCTATCAACCTCAGTCTTGAATGTGTAAAAGGACTGAACATCCATAGCCTTGTGGGGAATAGAATTCCACAAATTCACTACCCTTTGATTGACGAAATATTTCCTCAATTCAGTTCGAAAAGGCTGATCGTTAACATTGAGGCTATGACCCTCGTGTTAGATTCTTCAACCATGGGAAATCCTCTCACGGCATCTTCCGTGTATTTCTCACTTTCCATCTCTCTCCTCCTCTCCATCTCATGTTTGCGTCACCCTCTCTCTCTCTCTCTCTCTCTCTTCGCATGTGTGTTTCTCTCTCACTCTCGCTCTGTGCTTCTCTCTCTGTGTGTGTTTCTCTATCACTCAGTGGTCGTTTCTCACGCTGTTTTGTGCAACTCCCCCTCTCTCACTGTCTCTCGCTGACGCTGTTTGTTTGTGTGTGTATTGTTCACTCTCATTGTCTCTCTCTCTGTTTGTCTCTCACTCGGTGTGTGTGATTCTATCCCTCTCCCTCTGTTTGTATTTTTCTCCCTATCACACGGGGTGTGCTTGTCTCTTTCTTTCACTCACTGGGTGCTTCTCTCTCTATTACTCTCTGTGTTCCGCATTATGTATATTTCTCTCTTTCTATTCTCTCTGTCACTACTTCTCTTTCTTTGTTGTCATATTTGTATACCCCCCACTGTAGCTATCTACTTTAATCCATTTGAATACACAGACTGGCCAGGTTGTGGCTGGCAGCAAGGTTGCAGATCACGTTAACTGGTATACGAAATTCTGATGGACAGTCGTACAACATTGCCATCTGGAAGGGTTAGAGACACTGTCAAGCTCCCTCTACACTGTGTGTCCACACTCCCAGGTCAGAGTTAGAGACACAGTAAAGCTCCCTCTTTACTGTGCCTCCACACTCCAATGTCAGGGTGAGAGAAACAGTAAAGCTCCTCTACACTGTGCGTCCACACTCCCAGTTCAGGGTTAGAGAAACAGTAAAGCTCCCTCTACACTGAGCGTCCACACTCCCAGGTCAGGGTTAGAGACACAGTAAAGCTCCCACTACACGGTCCGTCCACCTGCTGAGGTCAGATCAGGGATATTCAGTCGCCATTATTTACTTTCCTCTCGATATCAGATCAGCGAAACCCACCCGATGCTTTTGCTCTGTGTGTAGCCGACAGGACATCACTAAGGGACTCTCACAATAACAACATTTAGAGTATCTTCCTGTCACTGGAAACAAATCTAACTTTCTGTGTCAAACTGAGTGAGTTCAAGCCTGCGGATTGTCAGAGAGCAGCAGCGGAAGGGAGTTGCTGTGTCCCGGTTTCCTAGCTGACAATCCAACAGATAAAATCATTAACTTCATGGCTGTTTGTGGGACGTTGTTGTGAACAAATTGGCTGCTGCGCTTTGTAAGGTTTCTGTTATTAATGTGTTAAAACAATATATGAAACAATTGTATGATATGAACCTATTTTCGGTAAATGCTGCTGTTAGCAGCAATGACAACGGAACAAAACAATTGAGGGGAAGCTCAATGTCAATAACAGGAAATGAT